TTCATTCATTCATTCTGATTATCAGCTGTTGTTGAACACACGTGGGTGTGAAAAGAGGATTCTCTTCCTCAATAGTATGCAGCAAATTCTACTAGATGAAAAGCTGAAATGAGTATGACATCCGAGCATTTAAAGTATACTTGATTTTCGAAATTTCAAATACTATAAAACTGTAGTTTTTCGCATACTCAAACGGCCTTCTATTTAGGACGCAAGTATGGGTATTCGGACACAGCCCTTGTCTGTACCCACCTGCTCCCATCCCCTCCTATCTCACTGATCTGCACCTTCCTTCCTCTCAGCCAGTGCCAGCCCAGCCTGGTCTTATTGACTAGACGTAACATAGTAAATGCAAATCCGGGACACACAAATTAGTATGATATGTTACATTTGGTATGGTTACATAAGACAGATGGTTACTTAAGTCAAAAATAAAGTAGGGTGGTTGTATAACGCAAACTTATTGCAACCCAAACGTTGCGAGTTTGAATCTCATCATGGACAACTTTAGCATTTTAGCAACTTTTTAACTACTTACTACTTTGTAGCTACTTTGCAGCTACTTAGCATGTTAGCTAACATTACCCCTAACCCTTTTAGCTAACCATTCCCTTGACATTAACCCTTTTAGCTAACCCTAACCTAACTCCTAAACTTAACCCTAACCTTAACCCCTAACCCCTAGCCTAGCTAACGTTAGCCACCTAGCTAGAATTTGTAACATTTTGTAAATTTTGCAATTTCGTAAAAGGAGGTGTTACCCTCCTGAGTGGCGCAGTGGTCTAAGGCACTGCATCGCAGTGCTAACTGTTCCACTAGAGATCCTGGTTCAAATCCAGGCTCTGTCGCAGCCGGCCGCGACCGGGAGGCTCATGGGCGGCGCACAATTGGCCCAGCGTCGTCCAGGGTAGGGGAGGGAATGGCCGGCAGGGATGTAGCTCAGTTGATAGAGCATGGTGTTTGCAATGCCAGGGTTGTGGGTTCGATTCCCACGGGGGGCCAGTATAAAAATAAAAAATAAAAATATGTATTCACTAACTGTAAGTCGCTCTGGATAAGAGCGTCTGCTAAATGACTAAAATGTAAATGTAATGTAAATGTTTAGCAAATTCGTAACATATAATACGAATTGTAATTCGTAACATATCATACGAAATGGTTGACGGACATCCACAAATGAATACATACCACACGAAACATATCATATCATACTAAATGGAGTGTCTCAGATTTACATACAGAATAATATGAAATCCTCTGAGACCAGGCTGGCTAGCCTCAAACAGATGTATTGCTCAGGCTCATCAGTGTTTTGGTGTTTCTGAGCCCTCCTCCCACCCCCCACCCTCGCCCACACACTCACTCACTCACACACTCACACACTCACACACTCTCACACACACACACACACATGCATGCATGCAGTCACATGTATGTATCCACACCACACACTCACTCACACACATAATAATGGGTGATACAACGGAGTGCTAGATAAAGGGGAAGTAATCAGGGTGTGATGAAGTCCAGGTGTGCCTCATGATGGGGCGCAGGTGTCCGTAATGATGGTTGCCAGGTGTGCGTAATGATGGGTTGCCAGGACCGGTGGTTAGTAGACCGGCAACGTCGAGCGCCGGAGCGGGAGTAGACGTGACAGTGGTCCATCTGGGCTGCATTAGAGTAGCAGCGCACACTGAGATCTGCTATCCACCAGGTTGGAGAGAAGCATGTGATGTGTGCAGAAAGCCCTCTATGCTCTAACAGAAACATCCCAATCTCCAGAGAACACTGCATCAGATCAAAGGAATGTATGCCTCTCTCTCTGTGTTGCATTGCTTAATAAGCATGCATCACATAATATCTGTTTGTGATATCTCTCTCTACACTGCCTGGGAAGACTGGCATTAGGAAAACCAATATGGTCACACTGTAACTTCAAACAGCCAACTGCCACCCCAAGGGACCATATACATACAGTGAGGGAAAAAAGTATTTGATCCCCTGCTGATTTTGTACGTTTGCCCGCTGACAAAGAAATGATCAGTCTATAATTTTAATGGTAGGTTTATTTGAACAGTGAGAGACAGAATAACAAAAAAATAAAAAAACGCATGTCAAAAATGTTATAAATTGATTTGCATTTTAATGAGGGAAATAAGTATTTGACCCCCTCTCAATCAGAAAGATTTCTGGCTCCCAGGTGTCTTTTATACAGGTAACGAGCTGAGATTAGGAGCACACTCTTAAAGGTAGGCTCCTAATCTCAGTTTGTTACCTGTATAAAAGACACCTGTCCACAGAAGCAATCAATCAATCAGATTCCAAACTCTCCACCATGGCCAAGACCAAAGAGCTCTCCAAGGATGTCAGGGACAAGATTGTAGACCTACACATGGCTGGAATGGGCTACAAGACCATCGCCAAGCAGCTTGGTGAGAAGGTGACAACAGTTGGTGCGATTATTCGCAAATGGAAGAAACACAAAATAACTGTCAATCTCCCTCGGCCTGGGGCTCCATGCAAGTTCTCACCTCGTGTAGTTGCAATGATCATGAGAATGGTGAGGAATCAGCCCAGAACTACACAGGAGGATCTTGTCAATGATCTCAAGGCAGCTGGGACCATAGTCACCAAGAAAACAATTGGTAACACACTACGCCGTGAAGGACTGAAATCCTGCAGCGCCCGCAAGGTCCCCCTGCTCAAGAAAGCACATATACATGCCCGTCTGAAGTTTGCCAATGAACATCTGAATGATTCAGAGGAGAACTGGGTGAAAGTGTTGTGGTCAGATGAGACCAAAATGGAGCTCTTTGGCATCAACTCAACTCGTCATGTTTGGAGGAGGAGGAATGCTGCCTATGACCCCAAGAACACCATCCCCACCGTCAAACATGGAGGTGGAAACATTATGCTTTGGGGGTGTTTTTCTGCTAAGGGGACAGGACAACTTCACCGCATCAAAGGGACGATGGACGGCGACATGTACCGTCAAATCTTGGGTGAGAACCTCCTTCCCTCAGCCAGGGCATTGAAAATGGGTCGTGGATGGGTATTCCAGCATGACAATGACCCAAAACACACGGCCAAGGCAACAAAGGAGTGGCTCAAGAAGAAGCACATTAAGGTCCTGGAGTGGCCTAGCCAGTCTCTAGACCTTAATCCCATAGAAAATCTGTGGAGGGAGCTGAAGGTTCGAGTTGCCAAACGTCAGCCTCGAAACCTTAATGATATGCAAAGAGGAGTGGGACAAAATCCCTCCTGAGATGTGTGCAAACCTGGTGGCCAACTACAAGAAACGTCTGACCTCTGTGATTGCCAACAAGGGTTTTGCCACTAAGTCATGTTTTGCAGAGGGGTCAAATACTTATTTCCCTTATTAAAATGCAAATACATTTTTGACATGCGTTTTTCTGGATTTTTTGTTTGTTATTCTGTCTCTCACTGTTCAAATAAACCTACCAATAAAATTATAGACTGATCATTTCTTTGTCAGTGGGCAAACTTACAAAATCAGCAGGGGATCAAATACTTTTTTACCTCACTGTACACACCGTGTAACAATTTAACGAACACAGAGACACTCAACATTGTCAGGTCCTGTTGCATGTGAATGGGGCGCCCAGGCACCGTGTCAAGGTTATCTGAATCAAGTTCTCTGTGCCCTTGCTGTAGAAGGGGACAAAGTGTTGTGCTGGTGGTAGGGTGGTAGACAGAGTGGAGTGTACTTGGGTTTAGGCTAGTGCAGGGATGGGCAAGTGGTGAATGCAGGGGGGGGGGGGATGTGGGGGGAGGTTGGGCAGTCTGTGGTGATAGGTGACCGTGACAGGGATAGTGACCCCCTAACCCCACAGTGCAGAAATGAGAGTGACTGTCATCTGCATGGAGCACAGCCACATGTCTACACTTAGCTGTCTCTAGTCTGGCTATAATCACCACGCCAGTAAACACCACTCAACAAGTTTACCACTGCTGTGTTATGTGGTTATAATCAGCTTATACCGACAATCAACATGACCCAACCATCCTCTAAAGAATGTCATCACATGCTGATCTGAACTCAACATATTGTTGCATTATGGTTCTCTGAGGTATGTTATCATAGTTTTAGTTCATAGCTCCATAGTTGTTGGTTTCTGCTGTTATCACTGTAGCTACTGTATCACCTCCACTATTGATGCAGTACCCTTCCTTACAGGGAACATCCCATAGTTACATCATCAGGGGTGATTGTGGGCACTGATCATGTCTTTATAGTAAAGCCACTTTTCCCAACCTCATACCCCATCCAGGCCCCGCTGGCGACAGACAGGCATGTCTCTCTCTTGCTATTCTATTCTCTCTCTCTTCATTCTCTCTTTTGTGTAACTATAGCTAGGGCCCCATTGTGACATGGGCCTTGCTCCTGTAAAACTAATAATGACAGAGATTTGTGCAGGCTTAGCATTCTTTCCCCCTTTCAATGCAGGATACGGGAATGACGGGGGTTAGGGGGAGTTAGGGAGTGAGAAGGGTGAGGGGATATGTCCTAGTTTGAGAGGGGAAATGTTTTTTCACAGACAAGTGGCTCCTTCTCTGGAACACGCAACATGCTTTTATTCTTTCTGGTTGACCGCCTAGATTATCCTTTCAACATATAGCCTTCTCAGTACATCGCACTCCCAGGGACTTTCTAACAGTATATATCATGCATTTCTTATTTCCACAAGTTAAACTAATTATGTAAAATGTATGCATACAACAATCATAACTGAATACAGGCATACATACACATTAACTCTAACATACAGTCCATACTGGAAATGTACTGTATGCTGTCACTTATGTAGACTTTGCCCTCAAAGTTTTTCCTACTCTCTTTAACACATACAGTACATGCCAAAAGACAAATACTGTATACCCAAACGCAAGGATGCACGTCTTTACACACACTCTCTCTCTCATTCAAATAAAGATCAGCTGATGTGCAGTTACAGACACAGGGGGCAACAATATCTCATTCTCCACATCTTTCGGTCTTCTGCTCTCTCCCCTCCCTCCTTAGGGCTCCCTCCTCCCGCTCCCTCCTTCCTTCCTTCCCTCCCTCTCTCTCTCTCTCTCTCGCTCTCTCTCAGTCATAGGCAGACATGTGCTTGCCGTGCCAGCAGACTGATTTAACCCTCTCCTCAGAATAACTGATGCACAGACAGATGTCTTTCACTTCCCCTCCTTGACCCCCCTAACTATCTCCCTCTTTCCTTTTCCCTCCACAGTAGCTCTATTCATTATTTCTCCTCCTTTCCGTTCCTCTCTTCTTATTCTCCCCTGCAGTTTTCCCTGCTCAGACAGCTATAAAGAATTGTCCTGTAGCAGAGCTTGTGTAATTGCTGGCTTCACAGGCACATGAGAACAGGAGCCCCTGCTTCAACACCGGCCCAATAAGGAATACCAAGCACTGGACTGAACAACACAGCGTTGGAGGGAAGGACAAAGCAAAAGACATACAAAGAAAAACAGGCCACCTTTTCTAAACTCCAAGGAAGAAGGATACAATACGGAATACAAGGAGTGTCAGAAGGAGAGAAGAAACAGTGTGAGGAGTACAGGAAGAGTTAAGTGTTAGACCATGCCTGGCTGTCATGTCCGGACACCGCTGGTGCTGGTGCTCTGCATGCTGGTGCTGTCCTGTGGGTCAGGAGGCGCCCGACGGATCAGGAAGAGAGGGCTTAACCAAAAGGTGGGGGTTAGAGCTGATATGAGTACCTAAACTGTTGCTGCAGCAATACAGGTGTGTGTGTGTGTGTATGTGTGTGTGTGTGTGTGTGTGTGTGTGTGTAAAGAGGAAGGGAAAGCCTGGTGGAAATACAATACATACTCTGTTTTAGCAGGGTGGCAGAGGGGTGTAGTTTGAAGGTTTCACACTTAAAACAGTTTTGGGGCTGAGGTGAGACGCGGGTGTTAACAGTGGTGTGACTATGTCTCTGTTGAAGTGCTCAGTAGAGGTGTGTATGTCTGAAGATAAACGTACTATGAGGACAGTTGAGAGAGGGAAACTGTATAATTTGACATCTGAAGCCATGTGACGTGCTTGAATTCTATTTTAAAACTCTCACAAGACTACAAAATAGAAGGTACAGGGTGTATGCATGTGTGTACATTTGTGTGTGTGTGTCTTTGTTTGTGTGTGTGTGTGTGTGTGCGTGCCTCTGTATGTCTATGTGCGTGTGTGTGTGCATGCACGTGTGTATGTATGCAAGTGTGCATGCGTGTGTCTGTGTGGTACGTGTGTATGTGTTTGTGTGAACCTGGTGTAAAGGATGTTGGGGTTATTGGGGCAGGAACTCAGTGGGCCTTAGCTCGTTAACTCAGCTCAGTGCAGGTTTGATTGATCATAGCTAACGAGGGCCAGTGCACTATGGTGCCCCTCTCTCTCTCCCTCCCCCCCTCATTCTCTCTCACCCTCACTCCCTCAAGACGGATGGCCAAACTGACATTCTTCAAGGATGCTGCTTCAAAGCCACTTTAATTGGAACATGCTGAGGTGGCTGTGGCCTTCCTTCATTCTCCTTCTCCCTCCAAGCCTTCCACTTCCATCACTCTCCATTCACAACTCTATGGCACCAGCATGGGCAACACCTGTTGCCTTCCCTTGCCTTTCTTTCTTTGTTTGAAAAGGCCAGTAATGGTTGCAGGATGTTAGGTGAGCTTATCCGACTAGTTTAAATATTTGAGTTCTCTTACCGTACAGTGGATGACAGTCGGTCAGATTTCAGGTTTCAAGTTGTATTAGTCGTACAGTATGTACGGGATACTCATGGTATACATCGTCCAACGAAATGGTTCCTTCTTGACAATGCAACAACAATAAGAAATAATAAAATATAAACATAAGATCATAAAGTAAATGGCTCAGTAGAATATAATATTTGTTGTTGCATAATTATAATACAGGAAGCCACAATGTATAGTCCAATATTTACATGTGTATTGGGAAGGGGAGTGTGGGGTTCAGTATATAAACTGAGCAGTGTAATAAGTGTCTGGTAGCAGCAGTGAGTGATGTGTGTGTAGCGTGTGTGTGTGTGTGTTTGTGTGGATGTGTGCATGAGTGAGAGCATGTGTGCTAAGGTGCGGAGAATCAAAGCAGGTGGTCAGTCCAGTTCAAGTGTTCAGCAGTCTGGTGGCTTGTAGATAGAAACTGTCTCTGAGCCTGTTGGTATCAGACCTCTTGCTCTGATACCGTCTGTCCGATGGTCAGGGAGGAACAAAGACGCAAATGTAGTATTCCAGATCTGGGAGGCTGAGAGATAAGTGTGTAGCTTCCAATTCATGATCCAGAAGTGTTTGTCGGTCGGAAATTATTGCACGGACATTCTGAGCAAACAAAGTCGAGCAGGAACCGTCAAAACGCACACCCTCCTCAGCGCTGCAATCTTATCTTGTCACCTAGGCCAATAGGCGTAGTGGTCAATAGGTCAATAGGCGTAGTGTAGTGTTGGCTCAGATTAGTCCAGGACTGGGGCACTGGGTCAAATCCTTCTGGCACTTTGCTCTGCTGTAATTGCAGCTTAAACTGCAAAGATCATAAGTGCCTAAGTTATTGAGTGAGATGACTCAAATTAATTGGACCGTTTAATTAAATGATTTCATGCCATTGCCAGGCAGCCCCCAGTGACCCCTCTCCATTAGAGTGACCACAGAGTGGTGTTTAATGGCTGAGGCAGGAACTCAGTATTGACTGTATTGACACCTTGTTGTGAGGCCATTTATAAGCTATTGTCAATATCATTGCTGCCTGGGCCAAAAACTTGGCCTGTCAGTTGCCAGAAACCACTGCCATTAACCTAAGATGTTTTGCCCTTGTCATTCAATCATCACACAGCTTTTAAAGCCCTGGCATCTTTCTCATATAAACCCTTCCAGTGTGCTCAGTCTTAGCAATAGCAGCACTATGGTTTCATGAAGGCTGTGTGAGGAGTGGAGGAGTGACAGACAGTCATGCAGAAGACTGACCACAGAGAAACAGAGCATGGTCATTGTCACAGAGGGGCTCCTGTGTGAGAGCAGCAGACAGAGACAGAGACAGAGGAGGAGGCAGGGGAGAGATGGGAGAGGTGCAGGAGGCAGAGAGAGGGGCTGCAGAGGGGCACAGGGTGGAGCTCTCTTTCTCCCTCCAGACCAGCAAAGTAGAATGAGGAGCTGGCCAGCACAGTCAGAAACATGCAAACATTCTGTTAGCGTGGGGAGAGCATTTCAATAACCACAGCTGCCACTGCTTAGACAGCACCCAGAGAATGTTGATGCAAAATTTGGAGTAACACTCCTGTTATTGTGTCCCATCCAGGGGGATATTGTCTGCTTCTGACATGTGTCCGGGCATGTTCATGAAGTTCTGAACTGTACTAAATCTGTTCAGTTCCATTTATTTCCCTTGCTGTGGACAGGCTTTTGGAAGGCTCTGAAATTAGACTGTGCCTGCAGATACTCAGCAACTCCTTGGCCTTCCTGTTCTGTTTCTGTTCTGGGCCGTCTGCCTCGGCCTCTCTCAGCCTTTTATGTCCTCCCCAGGTGATTCTCACATCTCTGTTTAGCATCTCACAGCTACAGCACTTTATCCATGGGAGCTATATTGGAATGAATCCCATGGGATTGGGCTGTCTGTGTGCTAAGACGTCAGAACGAACGAGATTGGAACATGCATCCTAATTTTGATCATTCCAGTATGGCGGCCAAGTTCATATTCAGTATAGGCTATTCCAAGATGGCTGGACTCAATATAGGAGATAATTCCTCTATTGTAGCCAGTAAATACCATTCTGTCTATGAGTATGACAAAAATCTAAAATATTCGTAACAAATACAAAATATATGTCCTTGCCATACAGTAATATATTGGAAAAAACATTCTGGAAGAAATCTACGGGAGGTAAAGTATGTTTCATACTTGTTTTGAGTAAACTGCTGGGTAGGTCAGAGTTAATACACTTAGCCCACTGGCAGAGGTTGTCAGGTGATGTGAACTTTGATAGGCATTCGGAACGTTAATCCCAGTCAGATGATGTGAGCATGGTCTGGACATTACTGTACACCATCAACTAGATTCAGCCACAGGACAATTTTTTCGTGAGTGGATGGTCAGGGGGCCGAAACATAACTACAAATAATTTGCAGACTGCAAATTGACCGCAATAAGCTCAAACAGATATAATATTTGACTAAAACCTAATAATTTAGGTTTTATAAAGAGATGGAGTGTAGCCAGCATTTGTCTGGCTACACTCCATCTCTTTATACACTAAGGTCAGACCCTGCCAGCTGTCAGTCAGAGTCGGTGCAGGAAATGAACTAAGTGCCCAGGGGCCACACAAAGTCTATAGCAAGGCTGGTTTAGAGACCTTTCACGGTGCAGGAGATCTCTGCATGGAAAGGAGGCTGGATAATGGATATAGTTGTATTACATGAGAAAGGAGGAGATACCAATCTAAATAGCATGGCCAATGCATAAGTATGACTAGCATGAAATAATCAGTGCAATCCATTCAAGCTGTATGACAGTATCACATTGCACATAGTCACTGGAGAGGCTGCATGGTGTGCTTCCTGGAGTTCTAGGAATCAGGAAGTGTCTGATCTAAGAACTAGATACAGTACAGACCTCAATGGCCGGATCACAGTTTACATCGCAGTCTGGAGCCAAATGAGGTCTCTGATTGCTTCAGACCACAGCTGCAGCGCTCAGCTTTGAAATCGCTGCTCTGGAAGACAATGCTCCCAGTAAACACCGGTATAACAGGGCTGCCGGCATCTCTGTGGCCCAGCAGGAAGATACCAATAAACAATAAATAAACAATGTGGGACTGAACATCAAACAGACGCATGCAGCACGACACAGTGCAGGGCAGGGCAGCTTGGCACTCAGACAGCCAGACTGATAGACTGACAGACAGGATCCAGACACTACTTCCTTTGGTACTGAGATCTGAAGGGAAATGATGGGAACTGAGTATATAATGAACCATGGTCACTGTAGCTCACATTATCCATTCACAGAGATAATCAGTCTCACTCTTGTACTTTAAACCTGGAGTTGCATTTGTAAAGATACAGGATGACATGAGGATGAAAGTGAATGGCCTACTTTGCCTCCCATAATCATATCTGTTTATAGGATTAGAATAATTTTGTAGACCTAACAGCATTGTGACATCTGATTGGCTTCTCTTTGACTTTTCCACTGGTTTTGATATACTATAGGTTAGGTTAATATAACTAGGCCTAGAAAGCCTCAGGAGACAGACAGTCAGAAGATCTGAGAGATGCTTGTTCCAATCTGGCCAATGTGGACCACAGCTGCAAAAAGCATACATTCTCAGTATGAAGAGAAACTTGATGAAGCCAAAAGCTCAAAAGATTAACTTTGAGGAAGATGAATCACTGTAAAGTACATAAACAATCTGGAAGTGGTCCTAAGACGTAGTCAATTGGCATCAAATCAGGATCAATACCCTAACCAAGGCACAGTCTGAGCACGTTACTGTGGTCACACTGACAGAGAGGGCCAGAATGTAGTGCCCCTGTGTGTTGCCACGCCAAAGCCACAAGTTGATTCAGTCACTGAGCCATGGTGAGACCCAGCACCCCACCCACCAGGCTGGCAGCTGACGGAGCGAATGATTTGTGTGTTTATTACAAACACGCATTCTGTGTGTCACAAACACCAATGCCAAACATCTGCTTTCATTTTTACGGTTGATTTGGAAGAGCAGTTGCTTAGTTTGCCATCGCGTGCAGTCTGTAAGCCCGTTAACTAATTAGTGAGAGGGGGAAAAACTCTCTGAGGGCCCCGACACAGTCTCTCTGTCAGGGATAATAAGGACAGGGACCCCCTACCCAGGCTGGCAGGGCATCCACTTCATGAGCAGCAGGATGCACACCTGAATTTATAGTATCCGGTCTGGAGCTCCATGCTATAGATGGGCTTTGGTTTTCTCTTCGCCAGCCAATGTGGAACATTTGCATTCTGATTAACTACTGCTGGATGAAGGATGATAGAGGAGAGGAATTTGCATTGGCAGCGTGAGCCTCCCAGATTGAGTCTGGTTGGCACCGTACAATACCTCAACTGCAACTGGAAACCTGACCTCACTGTATCTGCTGCTGGGCCAGAGCAACTCCTCTGTGGAATAACACTAGAAAATATGAGGAAAGTGCCTCCCTAGCCTCATGGTTAAATGCACATCACATACAGTGACCACAAACCTAAATAAACCTGTGTTTGACCTATGACCTCCTCCAGAGCTCACAGGAAGTGCAACCTCTAATGGGCGAAGTTCACAACATGGGTGCATGGAAATAGTTGTAGTTTATTGAACCGAACAAAGCACTAAGCACAGCCATGGCTGTAATACAGATCTGATTAAGTAAGTGTTTCACAAGCTCTTTACAAGCAAATCACAGACCACCACTGTTCAGGAGAGGTGGAGAATGTGTGTGGGTTTGAGGCAGGCAGGACCTCCTTGACAGTATATCACGTGCCCTCCTTTCACCCCTTATTGACTTACTCTTCAATTCTTCATCCCTCCACATGTTTAGAGTCCAGGTCAAGGTGTTTACTAACAGGCATGACAGCTACATAACACTGAAAACATAACAAATAGAACAAGCTGATGGAAAATGTTGCATCAAGTATGTTACAAAAATCAGTTACTGCCACCTGCTGGTCAAAGGGGTAGGAGAAGCACACGTATCACTATTTATCTTTGTAGTTGTAGGCCTACCAGGCAAACCTCCAAACGAGCTTCAATGCCATACAACACTCCTTCAGTAGCCTCCAACTGCTCTTAAACACTAGTAAAACTAAATGCATGCTCTTCAACCGAACGCTGCTTGCACCCGCCCACCCGACTAGAATCACTACTCTCGACGGGTCTGACCTAGAGTATGTGGACAACTACAAATATCTAGGTGTCTGGTTAGACTGTAAACTCTCCTTCCAGACTCACATTAAGAATCTCCAATCCAAAGTTAAATCTAGAATCGGTTTCCTATTTCGCAACAAAGCCTCCTTCACTCATGCTGCCAAACATGTTCTCGTAAAACTGACTATCATACCGATCCTTGACTTCGCCGATGTCATTTAGAAAATAGCCTCCAACACTCTACTCAGCAAATTGGATGTAGTCTATCACAGTGCCATCCGTTTTGTCTCCAAAGCCCCATATACTACCCACCACTGTGACCTGTACGCTCTTGTTGGCTGGTCCTCACTACATATTCGTTGCCAAACCCACTGGCTCCAGGCCATCTATAAATCACTGCTAGGCAAATCCCCGCCTTATCTTAGCTCATTGGTCACCATAGCAACACCCACCCGTAGTCTGCGCTCCAGCAGGTATATCTCACTGGTCATCCCCAAAGCCAACACCTCCTTTGGCCGCCATTCCTTCCAGTTCTCTGCTGCCAATGACTGGAACAAATTGCAAAAATCTCTGAAGCTGGAGACACTTATCTCCCTCACTAACTTTAAGCATCAGTTGTCAGAGCACCTTACCGATCACTGCACCTGTACACAGCCCATCTGAAATTAGCCCGCCCAACTACCTCATCCCTATATTGTTATTTATTTTGCTCATTTGTACCCCAGTATCTCTATTTGCACATCATCTCTTGCACATCTATCATTCCAGTGTTAATACTAATTGTAATTATTTTGCACTATAGCCTATTTATTGCCTTACCTCCATAACTTGCTACATTTGCACACACTGTATATATACAGTGAGCTCCATAATTCATTGGACAGTGACAATTTTTTTGTTATTTTGGTTCTGTACTCTAGCACTTTGAGTTTGAAAGGATACAATGACAATGAGGGTGAAGTGCAGACTGTCAGCTTTAATTTGAGGGTATATTCATACATATCGGATGAACCGTTTAGAAATTATAGAAGCTTTTGTACATGGTCCCCCCCTTTTTCGGGCATCAAAAAACATTGGACAGTTTAACATAATGTAGAATAAAGTAATCATTGTTAATATTTGGTCGCATATCCTTTGCATGCAATGACTGCTTGAAGTCTGCGATGCATTGACATCACCAGACGCTGGGTATCTTCCCTGGTGATGCTCTGCCAGGCCTGTACTGCAGCCATCTTCAGTTCCTGCTTATTTTGGGGACTTATTGCCTTCAGTCTCCTCTTCAGCATGTAAAATGCATGTTCAATTGGATTCAGATCCGGTGATTGACTCGGCCAGTCAAGGAATTTCCACTTTTTGGCCGTCAAAAACCCCTTTGTTGCTCTAGCAGTATGTTTAGGGTCATTGTCTTGTTGCATGATGAAGTGCCGTCCAATGAGTTTGGAGGCATTTGGTTTTATCTGAGCAGATAAAATATTTCTATAGACTTCAGAATTCATTGTTCTACTTCTGTCTGCAGTCACATCATCGATGAAGACAAGTGAGCCTGTTCCACTGGCAGCCATACAGGCCCAAGCCATAACACCCCCTCCACCATGTTTCACGGATGAGGTGGTATGCTTTGGATCATGGGCATTTCTTTTTTTTCTCCACACTTTCCTCTTTCCATCACTCTGGTACATGTTAATCTTTGTCTCATCTGTCCACAATACTTTTTTCCAGAACTCGTGGCTCTTTTAGGTGCTTTTTAGCAAACTGTAATCTCGCCTTTCTGTTCTTCAGGCTTATCAGTGGTTTGCATCTTGTAGTGTACCCTCTGTAGTCCTGCTGGTGTAGTCTTCTACGTATGGTAGACTTTGACACATCTACACCTGCATCCAGGAGAGTGTTTTTGATCTGTTGGGCTGTTGTCAGGGGGGTTTTCTTCACCATAGAGAGTATTCTCCGGTCATCCACTACAGTGGTCTTCCTCGGTCTACCGGGTCTTTTGACATAATTGAGTTCACCGGTTGTTTTTTTCTTGTTAATGATGAACCAAACTGTTGACTTGGGCATGGCCAGGGTTTTTGCAATGTTCCTGATTGATTGATTTTCATTTCTGAGCCTTATGACGGCCAGCTTCATTTGCATCGACACTGCTGTCTTCCTCATGTTCACACCACAACAACAACCTCCAAAGGCAATAGCAAAGTCTAGAATCAATGCTATTCATCAACAGCTCTCCTGCATTCACTAACGACACAAATGAATACACCTGCCTAACGACACACATCTGTGAAGCCAATTTAACAAATACTTGTAGTACCTTAAAATGGGGGGACCATGTATAAAAGGTGCTATCATTTCTAAACAGTTCATCCGATATATATGAAAATACCCTCAAATTAAAGCTGACAGTCTGCACTTCACCCTCATTGTCATTGTATCCTTTCAAACTCAAAGTGCTAGAGTACAGAACCAAAATAACAAAAAAATTGTCACTGTCCAATGAATTATGGAGCTCACTGTATGTATTTCTGTTGTATTTTTGACTTTGTTTTGTTTTACCCCCATATGTAACTCTGTGTTGTTGTTTTTATCGCACTGCTTTGCTTTATCTTGGCCAGGTCGCAGTTGTAAATGAGAACTTGTTCTCAACTGGTTTACCTGGTTAAATAAAGGTGAAATAAAAAATAAAATAAAAAAAACTATAGCTATTATGTTAGAAATGATCCAGGTCTCTTTATATTTTAGTCTCAGGATAGTAGATTGCACATTTCTGTGCAAACAATAAAGTAATTCTCTTATCTCATCTCCTCTCAGGACTATGAGTATCCGAACCAGCAGTCCCAGTCCACACAGCACCAGAAGAACGACCGCTGCCCACCCCCACCTCAGATGCTACCGGAGCGGGCCTGTGAGGTGCCCGGCTGCCGCTCTGACTCAGAGTGTGAGCGCCACAAACGCTGCTGTTACAACGGCTGCATCTACGCCTGTCTGGAGTCAGTGCAGCCCCCACCAGGTAAGCACCATAGATCTAGAATACAGTACACAAAACCGTACTTATTGACCCATATGACAACACACATGGTCATACATAGCATGGGCATGGTTCTAACCATTGGCACAAGGATATGCAGTAAAATACTGACGATATCATTAGGATCAAACTTACCAATGATGTGTGTTTGTGTTGATCAGTGCTGGACTGGCTGGTTCAACCCAAGCCTCGGTGGCTGGGAGGGAATGGCTGGCTTCTAGACGGTCCAGAGGAGGTACTGCAGGGTGAGTAGCCTGGAACCATTAAACCCACCTGAACTCTACATCATCAGTGTGTGTGTTTAGTTGACCTCTGACCTGTCCCCCCCTGCCCTCTAGCGGAGGCATGCAGCACCACAGAGGATGGTGACGAGCCCCTTCACTGTCCCACGGGCTACGAGTGCCACATCATCAACCAAGGAAACCCCGCCGCTGGCATCCCCAACAGGGGACAGTGCATCAAGTCACGTGGTAACTCTGGTAAGGTCAGATTCAGTCAACACTCATTCGATGTAGTTCTAAAAACTGCCATAAACACTAACTGGAGGGGCTCTTTCTCTTCCAGATGGACGTCCCATGAGGCAAAAGTCCTACAAGGACTATAAAGATTACTTGGGTAGGTGTGGTGATCAACTGTCCTGTATATGCCATAATTATACTGCATTTGGATCTACTGCTGGGGTCTCTTTTACACGCCTGTCATTTCTCCACCATAGGAACTGGAAGTAGCTCTAATAATGCAGTGGCCTATGAGAAACACCACCACAAAAATCTGGGATGAGGTAGGTTTTACTGGGATAGAAAACTAGATCTTGATGGCATTTAGAAAAACAAAAAGACAGAATATAGTCTATATTAGTTGCTAGGGCTGAAAATTGCCAGGGACCTCACATACGTATTACGATTTGATTTTCCAAAGATACTGCTCTCTATGTCTGTTGCAGAGACAAGAGAGAGCATAAGTATATTTGTTTTGATCAGACATGGAAATTAAATAGCTGAAAACATGTTGGCTCACTATTTAAAAAGATGGAGAAGAAGCTACAGGATTTTGTTTTACAAATCGACACTTGGAGTCAAAGTAACGATATAATATTGTCCAAAATAATATTGCGCTATGTAACTGTATCGATTTTCCACTCATCACAATTTTTTGCCTATGCCAGAGCTATCAAAGGACAATCTAACAATCTATAATAACAATTTCTGACAATATCTGACAGATAGTTAAATGCTGGTACTCATCACAACCGATCAATGACTTTCTCATATCCCTCCTTAGATCATCAGATACCTCTCCACAGAACCTCAGCTATCAGAGCCCAGATACCAAACCTCTCCACTCATCAACAGAACACAGCAGAACACAACCAAACCAGACCTGACCTGGTAACCTCACGGTGCTTTACATTTCTCATGTCTGGCCTGGGAAAAGGATGAAAACAAGCCTACATTTCCTACCTCTTCTCGAACTGGTATACTCATGATCCAGGCAGGGTTAACACATAATACACTACTTTGAGAGATTTACACACACACGGAAACGTGTTGTGATTTAGTCATGGGTAAGGAATAATGGCGTTATGGTTGAAGCAGAGAAAGGTATAAGACACATTAAACGTCAAAGCACTTTTCTTTCCATCTCAAACTGGGAAGAAAAAGAAAACCATGACATTATTCTATACACAATTTCTATAGATCCACTGCAAAACACCCCACAACCAGACACACACCTGCCACCTAGGTAGCCCAATTCTGATCTTTCTCCCACTAATTGGTCTTTTGACCAATCAGATCAGCTCTGAAAAATATCTGTGAAAAGATATGCGATTGCTCAGAACTAGTGTAAAAAAGATCAGAATTGGACTGCCTGTGTAAACCCATTGAATCCTAATCTGAGGCCCATTGAGGGCTGGTCAACAGGAAATAAGAACCATGTGCTGCTGTTGGCCCACTCACCCTTCAGGTGAGCAGGATGAAGGTCCCATAAACACACTGGATTTATAGTTATCAGACCGAGACCCAGGAACAGACATCAACCAGAACCACAAACACACTCCATACATTATTTATGTAATAACTTCACAACTACCCTCCACTCTACTGACAGCTTGAACAAAGCCTGTCTGTCATGGTGGGAGAGCAAGCTGGGCCTTACACCAAACAGCATGATCACATCAATATCAGCACATGGAACAGTTCAAACTATCGAAAGTTAATCAAATTGATCCTATTCCATCCAGTATTTTCAGTTCAAAAATGCACATTAGTATAATAAAAAGTGAGTGGTCAGGAGTCCACATCAAATATCCATGTCTGTATTTTAGTACTATATGAAATGGTGCTCAGTTCCAAGGCTGCCTCTTCTAACAGGACAATAAGATGGTCTACACACAAAGACTGAATTCCACAACTAATAAGCTAGAGGTATGAACAAGATGTAACCATTCTCTGAGTGAAACAGTGATATCCAAATGTTGTCAAACTGGTGCTGAAATGTTGCCTTGTGTATTCCAAATAAACTGTATGTTTGAGGCATAGTCTCCTATTTACATTATTGTACAGACCTAAATAACAGACCTAACCATTAACGCAAATGCATGATTGACCGTTCTTGCTAACTTTAGGTGACTACCTTGAGGTGGATGACAAAACAGTCTGTACATTACAGTAAATATTTAATTTATTAATGTATCAAACAGTCTTTACAAAGCATGGGTCAGGGGGTGAAGACACAGGCTGTGTTCCGATTCCCTCCCCTGCTCCCCGAAATGGCTTTTGTTTTTTAATCCAATTAATGTGTGTCCACTTCAGAGAGAAGGGTAGAGAATCAAAGTGCAGCCACAGACAAACATAAAAACACACTTCTCCTCCATGTTTATGTGGCAAACTTCTTCTGTCGGACTGGAGCAGGCAGCTGAGAAGTGATGGCCAGGAGAGGGCGCTCCACCACCACCAGAGACTGGTCATCCAGCAGGCTCACACACAGCAGGTCCTACACAGGACACATCATAGGAACAGAGACATTAATAAAACATACTGATTTGACCTGTTATATTTACAGAATCTAAACATCTCATCACTGTATATAGGATATATCCCACAGAACCCTGATGTTGTCCCAGTTTGGGCTTGGGTTCTACCTGGTCAAACACAGGAGAGACTTACCTGGAAGGTTTTGCATATTTTGAAAGCATGGAGGTGACTGGGCCTCTCCTGCTCTGATAGGCTCCTGAGGGTCATCTGATTGTAGAACTGGGTCTTCTGGTCAGGGAGGGGCTGAGGGGAGAGAGGTGGACAGCGTTAACCTCACAGGCCACTTACAGCAGGTGTATTCTAGTGATACGTTCAATATGATCCATACTAGGCCACTAAAACCAATAACTGTTGGTTACCTTAAATAGATTAAAAGGCTCCACTGAGGACTGTTAAAGGCTATTATGACAAGGACATTGATGAATAAACACTTTAAATAAAAACTAAAAGGAGGATGCCTTTGGGAGATGCAGGTTTCTTACCAGACTTTGGTCGATTATGCAGAACATGTGCATGTCGTACAGGAGAACTTGATTTGGGTTTTTAGGGTTGAAGGTCACGTGAGTGACGGGTGTGTCCCGGTCCAACCACACGTTGTGGAGCCCCTGCTTCTGCAGCTTTCGGCTCCAGTCTGTGTACTGCTTCTCCACTATGGAGTACTCAAATAACTACAGTCATAGACCACAGAACAGTCAGCATAACTACACGTGACAGAGTACTAAATCCTAAACCTACAGTGGAAATCACAACAATTTCATCAAGGTCACTCCTGTAAACGGTATAATCGAGAGATACTAATATCTGCAGGTGCAGTGGTATGAGAGGTGGTATGGTGTTTACCTGTTGGTCAGCGTGCACCATTGTCAGGTTGTTGGTGGTGGGGTGGATCCCCATGGCACTGGGACAGGAACCATATATAGGCACTATACAATGGAGCTGGAACACAACAACAGGGTCATAAGAGGCCTTCATTGGTAGCAGATTACACAATTTATCAGTGTTACTTGTAGTCTAACAAGCGGCTGTAGAGCTTGGCTGGATCAGTGGAAAACCCACGCACCTTTAGTTTCTGTAGATTGTAGACGTGGATCTCACAGTCACTATTTGCGGCCGCCAGCCACTTCCCATTCAAACTGGTAGTCATTAGGTGAATGGGCTGTCTGGACCCTGGAGAAGGAAACATCACGGAGTGAGACCATGCTACCACAATCAAGAGTTTAGAATCGGAATTATACAAAATAAAGCTATGGTATTTCAGTGAAGAACAACCAAACTGAGGTGAAATATCGGAGGATCCACTGACCTGACTTGGGTTTGAGGGTGTGCACATACTTGCACTCAGATTGGTTAAGGGCAATAACAAGGACTGATGATTGGCTGGAGGCAGCAAACATCTTGGAGGAGTCTGAGGAGAAGCAGAGCTGGTGTGCAGAGCGCAGAACCTTTGGGAGCTGGGATACCTGGGAGGGGGTGACAGGTGAGGTAGTTCAAAGATAAAGCTGTCCCGGGCAACTGTAAGTGCTGTTATTGTGAAGTGGAAATGTCTAGGAGCAACAACGGCTCAGCCGCGAAGTGGTAGGCCACACAAGCTCACAGAATGGGACCGCCGAGTGCTGAAGAGCGAAAGTTCATCTGTCCTCGGTTGCAAAACTCACTACAGAGTTCCAAACTGCCTCTGGAAGCAACGTCAGCACAATAACTGTGTGTCGGTAGCTTCATGAAATTGGTTTCCATGGACGAGCAGCCGCACACAAGTGTAAGATCACCATGCGCAATGCCAAGCGTCGGCTGGAGTAGTGTAAAGCTGTGGAAACGCGTTCTCTGGAGTGATGAATCACGCTTCACCGTCTGGCAGTCTGCCGGAAAAATATGGGTTTGGCAGATGCCAGGAGAACGCTACCTGTCCGAACGCATAGTGCCAACTGTAAAGTTTGGTGGAGGAGGAATGCTGGTCTGGGGCTGTTTTTCATGGTTCGGGCTAGGCCCCTTAGTTCCAGTGAAGGGAAATCTTAACGCTACAGCATACAATGACATTCTAGACAATTCTGTGCTTCCAACTTTGTGGCAATAGTTTGGGGAAGGCCCATTCCTGTTGCAGCATGACAATGCCCCCGTGCACAAAGTGAGGTCCATACAGAAATGGTTTGTCGAGATCGGTGTGGAAGAACTTGACTGGCCTGCACAGAGCCCTGACCTCAACCCCATCGAACACCTTAGGAATTGGAACGCCGACTGCGAGCCAGGCGTAATCGCCCAACATCCGTGCAGACCTCACTAATGCTCTTGTGGCTGAACGGAAGCAAGTCCCAAAGGAATGTTCCAACATCTAGTGGAAAGCCTTCCCAGAAGAGTGGAGGCTGTTATAGCAGCAAATGGGGGACCAACTCCATATTAATGGCCATGATTTTGTAATGAGATGTTCGACGAGCAGGTGTCCACATACTTTTGGTCATGTAGTGTATATCCTGATGTACAGTGTATTCAGATCCCTTGACTTTTTCCACATTTTGTTACGTTACAGTCTTATTCTAACATTGATTAAATTGTGTTTTCCCCCTCATCAATCTACACACAATACCCCATAATGGCAAAGCAAAAACAGGGTGCTAGAAATTTTTGCAAATGTGTAAATAAACCAGGAAATATTACATTTACATAATTATTCAGACCCTTTACTCAGTACTTTGTTGAAGCACCTTTGGCAGCGATTACAGCCTTGAGTGTTCTTGGGTATGACGCTACAAGCTTGGCACACCTGTATTTGGGGAGTTTCTCCCATTCTTCTCTGCAGATCCTCTCAAGCTCTGTCAGGTTGGATAGGGAACGTCACTGCACAGCTCTTTTCAGGTCTCTCCAGAGATGTTCGATCAGGTTAAAGTCCGGGCTCTGGCTGGGCCACTCGAGGACATTCAGACTTGTCCCGAAGCCACTCCTGTGTTGTCTTGACTGTGTGCTTAGGGTCGTTGTCCTGTTGGAAGGTGAACCTTCGCCCCAGTCTGAGGTCCTGAGTGCTCTGGAGCAGGTTTCCATCAAGGATCTCTCTGTACTTGGCTCCGTTCATCTTTCCCTCGATCTTGACTAGTCTCCCAGTCCCTGCCGCTGAAAAACATCCCCACAGCATGCTGCTGCCACCACCATGCTTCACCGTAGGGATGGTGCCAGGTTTCTTGCAGACGTGACGCTTGGCATTCAGGTCAAAGTGTTCAATCTTAGTTTCATCAGATCAGAGAATCTTGTTTCTCATGGTCTGAGAGTCCTTTAGGTGCCGTTTGGCAAACTCCAAGCAGGCTGTCATGTGCCTTTTACCGAGGAGTGGCTTCCGTCTGGCCACTCTACCATAAAGGCCTGATTGGTGGAGTGCTGCAGAGATGGTTGTCCTTCTGGAAGGTTCTCCCATCTCCACAGAGGAACTCTGGAGCTCTGTCAGAGTGACCATAGGGTTCTTGGTCACCTCCCTGACCAAGGTCCTTCTCCCCCGATTGCTCAATTTGGCCAGGTGGCCAGCTCTAAGAAGAGTCTTGGTGGTTCCAAACTTCTTCCATTTAAGAATGATGGAGGCTACTGTGTTCTTGGGGACCTTCAATGCTGCAGAAAATGTTTGGTACCCTTCCCCCAGATCTGTGCCTCGACACAATCCTGTCTCAGAGCTCTATGGACAATTCCTTCTACCTTATGGCTTTGTTTTTGCTCTGACATGCACTGTCAACCGTGGGACCTTATATAGACAGGTGTGCCTTTCCAAATGATGTCCAATCAATTGAAATTACCACAGGTGGACTCCAATCAAGTTGTAGAAACATCTCAAGGATGATCAATGGAAATAGGATTCACCTGAGCTCAATTTCAAGTCTCATAGCAAAGGGTCTGAATACTTATGTAAATAAAGTATTTATGTTTATTTTTAATGAATTTGCTAAAATTTCTAAAAACCTGTTTTCACTTTGTCATTATGGGGTATTGTGTGTAGATTGATGAGAACATTTTGTGATTTCATAAATTTTAGAATAAGGCTGTAACAGAATGCTGAAAATGTCAAGGGGTCTGAATACTTTCCGAATGCACTGTAAGAGTGGAGATCGTGGCGAGCTCAACTCACAATGCTGGCATCTTTCACTAGATCTAAACTTTCTCTAATAAATGTCACCATCTACTGGATGCCCAGACCAAATAACGGCATGGAAATAAAGTCTGGTCCATTTGAATGATTGCAAATATGACAGTCCCTTGTGAAACTGCAAGCACACAATCCGTTATCAGATTCCACAAGCTCAAATGACATTCAACAAGAAGAGGATTTTATGAATTAGTCAAACAATGAGAAATCAAACCTGTAATGTTGACATAGGCCCTAATGACTAGACTGTAATCGGGGAAATTAGTTCATAACCAGAGATCAAATAGTAGAATAAATATCTCAATGTATGAATACATTCAGTTGTCATTGCCACTACTGCCAGAGCGACACACATAATACAGTAGAGGTGAGGAAGCTGATTTTGTCCACATTCAGGATTTGGTAATACCTTGGTAATACTGATGTTGTTATTGTCTGTCTGCAGCCTGTAGAGACGTACGCTGGACACGGTGGAATAAGCAAGCCATCCTCCACAGGAGGACAGGGCACTGCAGCTGATATGATCCTCACCCTGGGGGCAAAGGTCACAACAAAACAACTACAGTTAAACAGCATTTCTTTAACATTATATAAACTCAAGACTGTGCCACTCAGATTCTCTGTGGCGCAGTGGTCTAAGGCACTGCATCGCAGTGCTAGCTGTTCCACTAGAGATCCTGGTTCGAATCCAGGCTCTGCTGTAGCCGGCCGCAACCGGGAGACCAATGGGGCGGCGCACAATTGGCCCAGCGTCATCCAGGGTAGGGGAGGGAATGGCCGGCAGGGAGGTAGCTCAGTTGGTAGAGCATGGCGTTTGCAACGCCAGGGTTGTGGGTTCGATTCCCATGGGGTATGAAAATTAAAAAGAATAATGTATGCACTAACTGTAAGTCGCTCTGGATAAGAGCGTCTGCTAAATGACGTAAATGTAAAAAATGTTAAATCTGTATACTGTCATTAGATAGGCTAAGAGGAAAGGCCAAAGGGTGGGGTGATCTTGGATGGTTCTACAGATCAAGTTGATATGCAGGTATATGCAGGAGCCATGTACCCACCTTTCTCTTCAGAAGGAGGAGTTTCTCAGGCTTCCTCTTCAGAGGCAAGCTGTCTCCTGGCTTCCCTGAAAGGAAGACCGACGTGTCGTCAAATACAGCACACAACAACTATACCTACTAGACAAGTGTGATGATCACTGCCTTTTGTTTGTAAAGAGTCAACGATGTTGACTGTATCTCTCATCTCCCTCTTCCTAGACAGTGTGTGTGCGGTTCTCACCCTGTCCATCACTCTCTCCCAATCTCCACAGCTCCAGCTGACCAGGGAACTGGAAGAGCAGTAGCCCTGCCTTCTTTGCACAGGATACTAGATTCCGCTGGAAAAAACAACAATAAAACAGGATCAAATCCAGCATTTCAAGGCAATTCTATAAAAATAAAACATGTTCATAGTTAATAGGAATATTCCATTGAATTCACTATTCAGAAACAATGCAATGGATATTATTTGCAACAACTGACACCAGAGTCATTTCTGCACTCACGTGAGGAAAGTGGATCTTGCGAAGTCCTGAAGCATGTGACTTCTCATCAAACTTCTCCAAGAGGGGTCTCACTACAAGGTGGGTATCCATGCCTGAGAAGATAATGTATCCAGAATGAGTCTTTATGCAGTCAATATAAAGCAACATTTATTGTACTACAGTAGCATTTCATCTTCATCTTTGAGCATTAGTACTGACCCCCAGAGACGATGGCAGTTTCGATCTCAGCCAGGGCTCTGACATCATGGGTGTGGTTCTTGAAGGTCCTGGTTCTGACCCATTCCTTGTCCTGCTCCTGCAGAGTAGAAGCAATGAACTGGAACTGGATCACAGTGCCTTCTGACGTCCCTGCCACCACACTGGTCTCGTCCTGTCAATCAAACACAGCCAAGTCAGGAAGGAAGCTCCATTCTAGTGAAACATAAACATCAGTAGTTGTGTCAAACAAATATATGCTTTCAGACATGTCAACCTGCTCTCTGCCTTTTGAATAAAAATAGGCAGAGTGCACCAATCTGGAAGGAGAGATAAGATATTTGTTAACGCCAGGTGTCCATTGCAGAGAATATCCTCTCACCTTAGAGACAGACAGTGCCAGCACATCCCACTTGGTCACCAGGTGTGTTTTGACAAGCGTGCCGGTGTGTCCGTCCCAGACTTGGACCTTCCCAGCAGAGTCACCGCTGACGACAGTATGGTCTGACAGGAAGGCCACACTCCAGACTACTGTCTCACGACTCTTAGAGCCTCCAACGCCCCGGTCCACCAGGAGCCTCTGTACAGCATGACCTGAGACAACCAACACTAGGGGTCAGGATATAACTACAAGTAGCTACATGGACATCATGGTACTCACAAAGACTGCAGCACCTTAACACCACAACCTCACTGGCCTATTGGAACAAGTACGAATTCAACACTACTGGTCAAATGTAAATTGATTATTCAAAACAGCAAGGCAGATCATAGCTCACCAGTTGGAACATCAAAGACACGGATCATGTCCATCATGCCAGCAGCGATTTGCGTGCCAGAGGGGTGCCAGGAGAGGGATATGATGCGACCTGAAAGACAGGATTAGAATGTTTAACAGGGCTGCACTACAACAAGATGTTTAGTTCTCAACACCCATGTGCAATGTCCCTAATCCCATTGACAGTGAGTGAGGATGCCTTATAGCATAAGAAAGGCTGCAATCTAAGGAAGCCAGGAAGGAACACATTTATAGACAATTGAATCAGGACTGTTCCTCTTACCTTTCTGTCTGTCCAGATTGCGCTCAAACTGTATGTTCTCTTCAAGTACTTCAAACAACTTCACTGTCCCATCTTCGCATCCAATCTAACAGGTGAAAACCCACATTGACATTGTTTTAATAGCAAAAAAATACACCTACAGCGGGCACACTTTGAATATTTCTGAAAATACATGGATTCTAGAGGGGTAACTGACCGCTAAGTGTGTCCCTTGAGTATTGCTGATTATGGTCCAAATGGGGCCCCCATATGCCTCCAGGGAGTATTTGGGTCTCAGGTTTTCCAGGTCATATTCTGCGATCTCTCCATTTAGACCAGCACTGAAAAGGCGTCCTCCAACCCAACATAGAGACTCAATGGATCGGGAGTCCTTCCCTGGGATAACCTGCATATTCCAAAACAAGTGTTAATGACAAGTTTGACAACCACACTGAGGCGATTTCTGCCAACATTGTCGATCAACAATGCCCAAAGGAGAGAGGTTCAAAGTCTTTTAAATGTGCTAGAATGTAATGACCAAACAAAATGTTTCTTTACATTCTGAATATGGCACAGCAAATTAATTAAGCAAGCTACTAACTTTTTCCTGGAAATAGTGGTCAGTGAAGTTGAAGATCTCCACACTCCCATCCATTCGTGCCAGGGCAAGTCTCTCTGTGTGGCCATTGAATGCCATGGCTCTGATCGCAGTGGGCATGTAGTCGAAAAACCGAACCCGGTGTACTTTGAACTCCCCCATTGTTCCGTATCTAAGAAAACAGATACATGTTAAAATTAAAAGAGGATCAATAGTTTTGCATGGGACGGCAGTAATGTTAGCCAGCTAGATTGGCTCGTGTGGTTAACTCTCATCATGCTAATCATATAATTTGAAACGAAATGTAAACAGCAACAAGATCAACTACATAAGTAGCATACTTGGAAAAAGGTTACTAGCTAAAGTTAGCTTGCTAACTCACAATTCCGCTTAGTTAGCTAAACTCACTGTAATGTTACACTGAAAGAACACAGCTTGCCTATCTATAAATCATTATATTATTGGCAAGTACCGATATATAATGCACATACAAACAGTTTTAAAAAACGCATACTTGTACTGTCCCCTTCTTTAGTATTTTCTTCACTTTCCCCAAACGTTCACTGCTAAGAGTTTCACACGTTGAATTACAGCAGACACCACGTTGGACACCTTTGAACCGGAAACGAAAACTCTACATGTGAGTGACGCGCCTATGCGCCGGAAGAAGGTGGTACATCTTGCTGGCGGGAAAAATATCAAAACAAACAGGACTTGTCAACGACAGAATAAGCGTTAATATATCATTATATTTACCTAACAATGTCTAGTTAAGCGCCTATATTGCATCTCTCTTCTTCTCACCCCCTCTGTGTACGATGGTTAAAATAATCATAAATCCAAGGTAAGACTTGTCAATCATCAGAATTCTTATAAATGGTCAATTCACACATGCTCTGTTTGTCTGTCTAGTCGCAGTATAAAACGTTGATTAAGGGTAGTGTACCTTAGCTAGCTAGCTATTTCATTTCATCCGATGTTAATGAACATAGTTAGATCTGTTGAGAGACAATGACAATGTGAGTGTCAATCAGTCAGCTGTAGTGTGTGAAATATTAATTTAATACTTTTTGTTTATTGACTGCTAGATTTCTAGTTATGTATTTGGTGGGTATGTAACAGATGTATATCGTACTCTCCCCGCGTTGTGTTTTCTCCTAATAAATCACATTTTCATACTGGGCGAACAAAATACAAAAATACAATACAAAATATAACATGTGTAAATACCTGTTGTTAAATGGGAAACAGCACGTTAGTTGTGCAGAGCTTAACGATATTGATGGCTGTCGATGGCAAAATCTGTAGCATGAAGGCAACTGTGTTAGCAGTGGGCTCATGTGACCATTACGTCGGTGTATGCTAGCTAACACACTTATCTACAGCAATCATATGCCAAAGCACATCCCAGGAAGCCCCTCAATCCCTAACAGGTACCATATACCCACACATGTATAAATCAGTAACGTACAGCAACCTTGTACACATTGTAAAATATGAAACAGTATTCAGAACATGACCTAACCCTTGCATCACATTTTCATACTGGGAAGACCTGACATTCGCATCTCCCCCCTAGCTGCAAGCGGGGCCAATCACAACATGCCTTATTGTCATCAGAGTTGAACCAACCAATAAGAATGCTTGAACATTAAATACACATTTCTTTAGAGGCAAGTGGAAACATAACCAACCCTGTTACATTCTCCCCTGCTGAATTACACTTGCAAACAGAGTTATTACGTTTAACCTGTTCACCTACAACCACCACTGGTGGGTCACTGTCCACAGTCGGTGGATAGTCAAGGTCAAGGGTTCTGTGACTGTTGCTGGAGCTTGTGCTACCAGCAGCATCTTCAGAATGCCTTTCTTCTTCAGAGGGTTCGGACATTTCTTCTCCAAAGGTTAGCTCTGACATGCTTGTGCCACCAGTGGCACCCTCAGAATGTGGTGAGTTCTGAGGATCCCTCGCCAGTGGCTCATCTTCCAGCATATCTGTGATTTCTTTTTCGGAGTGCTCTGGCTGTGCTTCCCCGAGGTCTGTTCTGATACCCACACCCTAGTCCTCTCACCAATGTCCATTTCTGGTATATCGTTCATGGATGAGTCCTCCATCTCCTCACTCGGATCCTCACGGTCTCCCATATTAGGTGTCTCGAAGGCAGTGTCGGGGAGAGGCAAGAAGTTTACAGGCATTATCAGATTACGGTGAACCGTTTTCTCCTGGCCAGTTGACATGTTCTGTATCTTGAAGATGTGGATGTCACTATTCTTCTCCGTAACAGTATAGAGGTTGTTCTCCCAACGATCTGCCAGCTTTCTCTTTCCACGTTCACCCTTATTCGCCAGCAGCACCCGATCACCGACCTCCACTGGAGCTCCTCTGATCTTCCTGTCGTAGAGGCCCGCATGCCTCTTCAGCTGTTTGGTTGCCGACACCTGTACCGTCTCCATGGCCTCCCTCAGGTCTCTCGTCAGGGACTTGATGTACTCGTCATAGTCTACAACCTCTGAGTCTTGCAGCACAGTACCAAACATCATGTTGACAGGCAGACGTGGGGTTCTCCCAAACATCAACTGGAAAGGTTATTCAGACGTGTGGTTCTCCCAAACATATTCAAGAAAGATCTACTAAAATCAGGGTGGGCTAGCATGACCTGATCAAGGAGAGCTTGTTTCAACTGACTAAAGGCCTGTTTGCACTCACCAGTCCAGTCTGCAGCTGTGAGTTTCGTATGTATTCCTCTTTTCCTCTTGCCTTTCCCATGGCGTGGTGCCTTCGTCCCTGTTGTCAGCCCATGCAGCGGCTTAGCGATGGTGGAGCACCCCTCAATGAACTGCTGGTAATAGACTATCATTCCGAGAAAGGACCGAATCTTCCCCTGGGAGGGCACGTCCATGTTATCCTCCATGAGATCCTTCTCTGTCATCCCTACAATAGCCTTCCCTTTTCTGGGTCTGTGGCCACATCTCCTTCACTGATGACATGCCCCAAGAACCGCACTGACCTCTTCATGAAATGGCATTTATTTGGAGACAATTTCAGATTATGGGCTTTGAGACGCTCAAAAACGGACTCCAAGCGTTGCAATCCAAGTTCTTCGTTCGGGGCAAAAACCAGCACATCGTCCAGGTAGCATAGAAGGCTAGAAAAAAATGTATCCCCAAAAATGCTCAACATCATCCTCATGAATGTAGCTGGGCTGTTGCATAGTCCTTGTGGAAGACAGTTATATTCATATATCCCAAAAGGAGAAGTGAAGGCTGTAAACTTCTTGTCGTCTTCATGCACCTCCACATTGTAGTAGCCTGAGGTCAAATCCATTGTAGAGAAGAAGGCATTGCCACCCAAGGCCACCAGAGCATCAGCTTGGTGAGGTAGAGGGTGAGCATCCTTTACGGTGCGAGCATTGAGCCATCGGAAGTCTGTACACAGTCTCAGATCACCAGACTTCTTCCAAACCAGCACGAGCGGGGAGGCATACTCACTGCTGGATTTCCTGATTATCTCTCGCTCTTCCATCTCATCCAAGGCCTGCCTGAGCTTGTCATAATGGTTAGGGGAGAGCCTACGGTAAGGTAGCCTAAAAGGCTTAGTGTCACTGAGTCTGATGCGATGGACATATTCAGTAGCCTTCCCGCAATCTAGTTTGTGCCGGGAGAAGGTAGGCTCGTAGCGGGCTATAAGCTGAACTAGCCTGGCCTTACACTGTTGCGACAACTGAGTGGACTCAATGTCAATGTCACCTAGCCCTAACTCGTGCAACACCTCATTTGTCACTCTGTGCGGTTTGACGGTACTGTCAACGGTCAAGCTATCTCCACTACCATTGTCAAAGTCTGGATTGTCCTCCATTTTGTGTACCTGCTGCACCAGGGGAACCTGTTCGACACTGGGCCCATCCATTAGTTAGTGTCAAAGTCCTCTAATGCCATGCAAGGAAAAACGTCTGCTATCTTGGCATTGCGTCTCACTGTTACTGGCTCATCTGTTTCTACTCCCCTATCCATCCCTGTCCAGTGTGGATGGGGCTGGTCCTGCTGAGTGGCTGCTGGCAGTGTTGCCAACTCTTCAGTAAGGAAAGTAGCTATTGGCTGTCCTAAAAGTCATGCATAATTGGCCATGTGCATGTAATTGTGATGGATGCTGTAGGAGAGAGGAATAACGTTGTGGAAGAGACAAAAAGTGAGTAAAAACACCCTAAATATGTTTAGAACTACAAATGAACTTTCTTCTGTCGATCCTTGTTTTTTTTTTATGTCACAATTCCAACCCTCCTCCTTTATCCGGGCTTGGGACCTGCAAAAGTGAACCAAAAGAGACACTCTGGCGGAGTTACTTAGGTTTATTTTTATTAGTTTATTTTTTATTTATATTTTTGTTTTAAAAAATCTTACGTTTGGTTTGGTTTTTAACCTTATGGTCCACTTAGGAGCCTACAACAAGTCACAGTAACCATAACATTTAAAACATGTTTTTGTATACAATCTACATTAACAATCTAAATGGACCAAAAAGAGACAATAGAAAAAACTGTCAATGGCAATGTGAGAAAATGATGGTAACTAGTCTGGCCCTAATTCAGGTTATTTATTTTATTTTATTTTGACCCCCTCCACACACACACACAGGCTGTGCTGGCTCACAGAAAGAGTGGGTCATCGTCATTTTGGTCAAGGCTCTCTATGGCAGGTTCAGCAACTGAGGGAGATGACTTAAATGAGTAAGCAGCTGATGTGCCAAAAAGCTGCAAAACATTATCAGGCAGCTGGTGCTCATAGCAAGCCTCACCAGACAGCTTCAGTCCATATCGAATGTACAGGACGGAGATAATGGTCTGCAAGGACATCCGATTTCTAAGTTTGCTTTTTACCACACTCATCTGGCTGAATACTCTCTCGACTTCAGCATTCGAGTGTGGCAAGGACAACACAGACACAGCAGCCATGGCAAGTTCTTGAAACGGGTTGATATCAACTGCATCCCTGAACTTCCAAATCACACTCCAGAAGCCCAGTGTGTTTTTTGTCTCATTCCATTTACTAAGATGGATGGCACGCCATTGCTGGACAATCTTGTCTATCTCTGCAGGGGAGCTTGGCTATTTTTTCTAGTTCTCCAGGGCTCTTATTGTGCTTTAGAGTTTCCTCCACATTGAAAACTGACATGTACTGCAATGCTTCGATGTTGTCCGGCAGTCTCAACCTCAACTCATTAGTGAGGGATATGGTGAAGGCTACACACCGCTTTCGTTCATTGTTTTCATCCTCAGGCGCAAGGTGGAGCTCAGCTGCCTTTGACTCAAAAAGGTAACCAAGGTACGGTTTGGGACTGATGTATCCATCTATTGGCCCTTTGAGTACAACAACATTTGCTAGTGGATTCAGCACCCTGCTGCTCACAGACTTGAACAGGCTAACCAAGCTGTCAAGTAGCTTAAGAGGATCTACTTGCTCTCCCTCAAAAGCCTTGATGGCCAACTGTACCTCACCCAGCACTGACTTCAAAAAAGTCAGATACAATATGTACACTGTAAATGGAGTATAAAACCTCAGCCATGTAGCAGTGTTCACTGAACTTGGTGACTGCGAAATGCAGCCTAAGCTCCTCCCACTGGTCCAAAATGCGTGAAACCACGGGTTCAATGGAGAGCCAACGTGTGGCACACACCTTGGTTATCTGTAAAGGTTTCTCCCCACAGTTGATGGTCTCATATATGGCCTTGTAGGCCTCCCTGCGCTTTGGAGACACTGAAAACCAGTTATAAGTCTCTCGTACCAAGTACTCCACACTACGGGGGATGGTGTCATTGGAAGCATGACTTACAGCAAGCTGCAGAGAGTGGCACACACAGCGAATAAGAACCAGGTCTTTGAGGCCATACTCCTCCTTCAGCACTTTATGGACCCCATTGTTAATCTCTGTCACAAGAGGCATTGTCAGTCCATATCCCCAGGAGTTTCTCTTTTTTAAGACAACACTTCTCGAGGAAAGCCACAACAGCACGGGCTATAGATTTGGCATCTCCTCCCTCCAACTCAACAAGCCCCAGAAATGTTGATACAACTGTCTGCTTGGTGTCACTAAAGTACCTTATCACAACCCCCGGGTACTTAGAAACACTTACATCCGTGGACTCATCGAGGAGGAGGCTGAAACGCTGGTCACCCACATCTGCAACCAACTTTTTCAGAAAGTATGGTGCTAGAACACCATTAATCATTTCTGTGCACTTTGTCCTGTGCATTTTGAAGTGGGTAGCAGCAGTGGAGTCTGAGAAAGCAGCTCTACAGGCTTCTCCAATGTGATCACATGCCAGCATGAAACAGTGTTCAGCGATAGCTAATGCCATGGTGGCCTCAGCCTTTTTTGCAGAGTCAATTTTTTTAAACCATAAATGGCAGCTTGTTTTGGGTGGAGCTGTTATAAGGCTTTGCCTTTTGAGTATGTTTTTGAGTTGTCATGTGTTTTTTTACATCACTAAGTTTGGCGTAGAAATCAGCCTTACAATACAGGCAGTATGCCCGTGTATCATCTCCAATAAACAGCTTCAACCAGCCTTTGAATTCAGGGTTTGATTCCCACTCCTTTCTGTATTTTTGAGTGTACAGTTTAGACTGAGACATGATGAGCTAGCCAGCTAGATGTTTAGCATGTCACAGAGAGGCACACACACACAGTGGACGAGGTGAGTAAGTGACTGAGGCTGTGTGAGTCAAATGCAGTGATTTATTTTTGCCAGGGCGGGATCAGCCAGCGGTGGCTTCCTGCATGAGCGATTCATTTGCAGTCTGGACACGGAGGGGTGAACATCTCCTGCTCTGACTGCAGCGCGAGGAATGGGCCGCCTGTGAGTGCTTTTGGACAGGGGTGGGGCCCACGGCAGCACCCGCTGCTCGTTGAGAAGAGTAATGTGGGGATCTATTTTCTTGTAACTGGATGTGATGCCTAGCTTAGAAAGAATGCATTAATGATTAAACATAAAAGGTTTGTACTGTACTGATATAAATTGTTTAACCTAACAAGCTGTGATTAATGTGAGGAGCTGTTTTAGGGAGTAGGGGGAGATAAGAACTTGTGTCTCACAATACACGAACACTGCCTCTTTGTGATCTATGAACCGTCCAAGGACGTAGGTACATAGAGTACAGGGGAACGGTGTCTATGGGTGCTGACTCGAGACGGGTATGATGATAACAACTTATGCCTGGCAACAGTGTGCAACGGTAGAGCGCCAAGGGGCTGGGACCAGCCTGTGCGCCAACGATTGGCTGAGTAAGTCTAAACCACGCTCAGTCTCTACCCTGATATGCCCAGCAAGGAGCGGGAACTATCACTGTCAGGGTATTTAAAGAAGAGCCTGTAACAATGGATCAGTTCTCTGTCTGCCCTGCGTGGTATTTCAGTGAGCCCGTATACAAACTCTCATACTTACCATTTAAGCATTTGCATTAATAAATACTAGACTAACATGGATACTGTGTAATGACCTCTTTTGTCCCAAATACCAGATTTGAATTGACGCAACTTAACAGTAAGAACAGTACGTGCTTTCACGTCAGTCTCCAAAAGTCTCCAATAACACCAGAAAAAGTCGCTAGATTAGTCGCTAGTCGATTTTTTTTGAAAATGTGTCGCTAGAGGGGTGTGAATACTCGCTAAATATAGCGACAAAGTTGCTAAGTTGGCAACACTGGCTGCTGGTTGAACTCCAGGGGCAGATGGTGTCCAGGCAGAACTCTGGACTGGCTGGGAACCTGATGGGAGATCTGCTCTACACCAAAGAGGTACAGGACTACATGGCACTATAATATAGTGTTTGTACACTCTTCTCTTACCTCACCTCTTTCCACTCTGAGATGTTGTTTCTTGTCTTTAATGTGCTCACCTGTATCCCCTCCCCCAGGGTGTGCCTGTGCTCATCGTGGGACACGACATCCTCTATGGGAAGGTGGTCAAACTGGAGAATGTGTTGATATGCCATTTGTACTGTGGTTATTTTCAGATGGGAAAGAAATCAGCACAACAGTGGAATGAGACTGTTTTTATTCAGATACAAAACATATGGTTTTTCAACCGCTGTACAAGTGTAAAAAATAAATGTTTTTCTGATTGAAATTGAAATACAAAACCTTTTTCCAAAAACGTGCTGTCTTTTATACTGTATTTAAATATGTTCATAATGAAATACATGGGTGGTTAAAATACTTCATTTTCAACTATTTATACCAATAAAACTAAATGTGTTATGTGTATCAATAGCCAAATGCTGTTGCATGATTCTGATAGTTTTTTGTACCATATTACTGTATTAGAAATGTTATCTGTTGGTTAATTACTTTTACATGACAGTTATACCTACCTGTTCTAAATCTACATGAAGTATCATCCCTAAATGGTAATGTAATATAAGTATTATCTCTCATCCATGAAACTACAAAAAATACCAGTGTAGCAATGTTGAGCTCCAGAGACCAAACTACACTGAATTAACTGACCATGATGTGCTAGCTACATCATATTATAAACATAATGTAAACAGCTGTTTCATGAAATGTCAAAACCCCATAGTTCCTTTTAAATATAGGCCTATTCTTCACCCCATCATTCTTGCACATCTTCAAAATATATTTGAATATGTCCAATACACAAAATATATTACTTTGCAATATACTTTGAAACATTGCCTTTTGTAAACATTGAATGATGTATGAGCTTGGCTGCTATGGCTTGTTGGTCAGGCTCAATAGTCAGGCATTGAGAGAATGCTTAAAAAAGTCTGGTGTAGATGTTCAGTCACGTTAGAATTATATTCAAACCAGTTCTATTATAAGAATGTGTTTTTCCATGTAAGATATGCCTACAAAATATAGGTGGACATCTACCGTCACTCAGTGTTATGAGACCCATTGATTTATTGTCAAACGAGTGGTCTGAAACTGTCACAGATCAAGGGCCTGAGTGTACCTCAGAGGCAGGAAGTATCAAGGAAATCAAAAATGGCAGTAAAGACAATATTTTAGACTGAGAGCAGATGTTCAGCCTGATAGATAGGCTACTATAACAAATATTGTATATGATATCTACACACCATACAACTCAATTTCAGACAACAATCACAGTCATCTCTGTATTTTCCTTACGCCTCTAATTTCTTCACGTAATCCCAATATCTATACCACTGTGATTCTTATTACACAGTCACCTTACATACACCCTTGAAAGTAGAGGGAAAGGTAGGCCACATATACATTTGAAGACAAGTCAGATGATTAAAAGAGATCAGTTTGCTGTCTTTACACAATTCTTAACACTAAGTTCAGTATTCCAGCATTCTGTCCTGATTTCTGAAAGAGGGCCAAAGGGGCGGTATGGGTGTGTGTTTAGGGGAAAGGGAGGTCCCATCTTGGCATGCACATAGAGGTATAACCACAGAAGTAAAAAAAAAATGGCTGGCTGAAGGGGCCAATTCATCCAGCCACACAGTAAACCACTTCCCCCTCTGCGCATGGACACCCCCACTCACACTCTCTGGCCTGGCCTCTCTCAATGGCCTTGTGACTCCAACACGTTTTTAAATGCACTGCCTAAAACCAAACCCATTTATGACCGCTTAAATAGCCACGATACTTGCATTCAGGAAATAACTTCAAAGTATAGTATTTTCTGTGGAGGCTCTTTATCTGTTTAACCCCAGTATTTCAGTATGGGAAAATTTTTATAATAATAGTGTGTTCACAATTCATGGCCACCAATACTTGAATGAATTGCAAACAATCTTGTGTCTTGTGTCAGGGGATATTATTCCATGTTTAGGTTGCAGTTTTGAGCCCCAACAACAGCTAACTGATTTACAGCCAAGGAAACACTGCAAATGCATATGGATGGCCGCCTACCAAGTTTGTACTTTAATATCTATTCAGACTGTGAAAAGGGAGAGAAAGTCATATCACCTCTGATCTCCTTTGATATTCTCATGGAAATGTACTGTACTGTCAAATTGACCTACTGCACCATTGGTAGAGAGAGGCTGAGCAAGCCTGTAAACAAGTGTTTCTTGTGTCTTGCACTTTCAAGTTGTGCAATTCTCATTGAATAAAATAATATTAACACAACTTAAATAGCACAAGAGTGGAAACTTCCACGACAGTATCGCCATTCTCCAACAACAACAAAAATCATGTCAACTTAGACATGGCACCTACACTAATACCAATGGCCTTGATAAAATGTAACAACTAATGTGGAGTTAATACTTGTATTATACTAATGGTACGGCATGTGTCAAAAAACAAGTGTTCTTTGGTCAAAGCAGTTTACATCATGGAATGAATGATGGATTATCCTCAGTTGGAAAATTATATCCTGTATTGAGCATTGATACTGTATGTAATGTGTATACAATGTGGCACCCATACAATAAAATGTCCACACAAAATTCACTGACTCATTCAATCGGGTGTAAATATCCTTGCATGCCATTGAAGATTGGACTATTACCATATGAGCTAAACTTTTATCTTGGGCACTGTTCAACAGCACCAAAAATGTATTTATGAGTTATGTATAAATGTTAGATTGTCTATCAATTACTGTATTACAGAAATACAACTGTAGATCATTGTGTCACCTGATTGAGGCAGAGAGGGCCCTCAGTACATGTGTCTTACTGTCTCTATGTTGTCATTCCAGTCATGTTGGAGACATATCAACACTGCTTCATACTGTTCTTACTGACACATACGCTTGTTTAGATAAGACCAAACCTCCAGGCCTGTGTCATAGCTCTTACAGTCTCTGTAAACAGGTTGTATGATAATGTGCTTTATATCTATGGAAAGCACCATGCCCTTGTAACTCATGACCACTGGTAGAGCACTCTACAACACATTCATACCACATATGTCCCTTAGAACCAGAGGTTTAGCACCATGGAGACAGAATGGCATGAGAGTGGTGGGGCCAAAGACTGGCTCAGCTGTTCTAGCAGCACCATTGAAGCACTGACAATTGATCCATGTCTTATGCCTCTGCATACGGCAGGTGGTATTGCTCCTCCCTCTTGTTGCAGCGTTTGGCCACTATAGCCAGGTAAAGAACCAGCAGGATAATCCAGTAGCAGGCATACAGGATGGCCCCAGCAATGAGCAGGGCTTTCTCTGTCTCACTGAAGGGCTCCTGGGTCTCACAGTAGATGGTGTATGCCACCCCACCCAGCAGCACAGCACCCCACACCGTGACAGGCACTGCACCAATTAAGTTCACCACAATCTTCCTCCGCCCTGACGTGCCCCAGCCAGCCTTGTTGATAGTGAGCAGGGCAAAGATTTTGGCTGGCAGCAGGCTGGACATGTAGAGGAGGGAGTAGAGAGACATGAAGATCATGACCAGACTGCCCCTCAGAAAGCAGGCGTAGGTAGCCTTCACCATGCCAACCAGCTGCACTGTCAACAGGAAGAGAAGGATGTTCCACAGGCGCCCACGGTAGAACAGGTGGATCACTGTGGCAACCAGGAAGAAGGGAAAGAAGCCTGTCACCACAGACTCGTAGGTCATCCAGAGGCTGTGCTTGTGGAACCAGAGAGCGTTGTACAGCCACTCCCTGAAGTAGGACTTGCTCCAGCGGGTCTGTTGGTTGAGCCAGCGGAGGTAGCGCGTTGGTGTTTCAGTCTGGCACTGGGCGCGAGCGGTGAACTTGGTCTTGTAGCCGAAGCTGAGCACGCGGTTGGTGAGGTGGCGGTCGTCACCGAAGCTGCACTTGCTGCCCAAGAAGGTCTGGTCATACCAGGGCTCCAGGAACTGCTGCAGGAGAGAGTTGCGGTACATGCCCAGGGGACCACTGATACACTGCACACAGCCAAAGTAGGACTGGCAGGCCCGCTCCACGTTGAAGGCCATCCAGTAACGCACACTGCTCAGGAAGGAGATCCACGAGTCATACTTATTCAGGATCTGAAGGGAAACAGAAAGAGGAGAAACTGTTACTGATGATTGATTCAGTGTACTAGTACAGGAAGGAAGACAAAAACACCAATGTGAAGGGTCTTCTTAGAGAAAGAAGTCTCTCACCTGAACATCTCCACCTACTCCCCCCACCTTTGCATCCTCTTCTAGAATCTTCAGCATCTCTATGGTGCACGCTGGGTCCAGAACTGTGTCTGAGTCACACACCTGCGATGGCACACACATGGGTGCCTTATTTCTATCCTTATAATAGAACTGACATTAAGCCAAGTTGGTGGTGATGTGATTTGCTTTTGACAGTGGATGAATCTAATTTTCTTATCCATCACACAATAGGCTATTGATCTTACTATTCATGTTATGATAGCTGTTGGGATCATACAGTATGTCTACAATACACACTGATGTGGTCCACTAAGCTCCCCGGGGCGGCAGGGAGCTTAGTGGGTAAGAGCGTTGTGCCAGTAACCGAAAGGTCGCTGGTTCTAATCCCCGAGCAGACTAGGTGAAAAATCTGTCGATGTGCCCTTAAGCAAGGCACTTAACCCTAATTGCTCCTGTAAGTCGCTCTGGATAAGAGCGTCTGCTAAATGACCAAAAAATAAAAAATAAAAATAACAAATGAGTGATTAACTGTCTATTGATGAGTGAGAAATACTCAAGACGGCAGCCTAGGGCCACGGCAGGTGTTTTAGGTCCACTGTTTTATCAGATGCCAGTCAAGTTACCTGCGAGAAATGAGAGACTGCTGACAGCACACAGGTGTTCCAGAAGCACACAGGTGAGGGTCAGCTGAACAACTGAACTTTGACCCTGACAATGCAGTAATGCACTGTGTATGGCTCAATATGCATCTTTGTTTTTGTAACAATCCACAAGCCCAGGAGTAATACAGAAATGTCAATCAGTTGCTATAATATGTAATACCTGAAAGGGTATAAAAGGATGTGTGTGTGTGTGTGTGTGTGTGTGTGTGTGTGTGTGTGTGCAAGTGTGTACGTGTTCGCAGCTTTGAGATATTGTTCTCTAATGGAAGAGCATCAAAACAACGAGATTAGATTACCTATTTCTATCAAGCAGGACAGAGGACACACTGATACAAAATTCAACCACTGAGAGAGACTTACCTGCATATAGTCCACAGAGTCTCCCAGGGCTTTGAAAGCTGTGTACATCACCTCTCTCTTCCCTCCCCACTCCTGCATGATACAGGAGTAGCGGCAGTTCCTCACCAGCCTGGCCACATGTGCAGTCTCCTCCGCATGCAGGGACGCTGATCTGGCCCCCCCTCCGCCCACCCCTCCACCCCCGCCCCCGTCACTGTGGTAGTTCCCCTTCCACACCACGCTGCCGGCCTGGTCCTCTCCACCCATCACCTCCTGGAAGATGTCCATCATGTAGCCGTCCTCCGGCCTGTTCCCGTCCACCACCAGCACCACCTTCAGGCCGGGGAAAGAGATGCGGCGCACGCTGCGGAGGCACTTCCTCAGGTAGTCTGGGTCCTCCTGGTAGGCAGCGATGCACAGGGCCACGGAGCGCCGCAGGTGCTGGGGCCGGGCGGAGCTGCGCATGTGTCTGTGCTCCAGGAAGGCAAACAGGCTCTGGAGGAAGAGGTGCAGAGACAGGGTGGCTCCGTACAGGCCGAAAGACAGGTGGTGCTGCTCTGTGTGGATGAACTGGTAGCCAGTCACGTAGGCCATCAGGATCCCGAACAGGACCACAGCGGCGAAGAGGGTGGTCGTCACGATATGCAGCGCAGTCCTACAGCGAGAGGGCATCTGGAGGGAACAGGAAAGGGAATGGATTCAGCATGATTCCAGACAGAACTGATGGACGAAAGACAGAGCTCATCCACTGTGCACAGACGTTCAACATCTAGTTTTTATTTACGTGAATTCAATGTGAAATAAAAAAAAAATTCACCATGTCATTGGATTTAGGTTAGAAGTTGGGTAAGAAAAAGACTACATTTACAGTTGAAGTTGGAAGTTTACATACACTTAGGTTGGAGTCATTAAAACTCGTTTTTCAACCACTCCACACATTTCTTGTTAACAAACTATAGTTTTGGCAAGTCGGTTAGGACAACTAGTTTGTGCATGACACAAGTAATTTTTCCAACAATTGTTTATAGACAGATGATTTCACTTATAATTAATTGTATCACAATTCCAGTGGGTCAGAAGTTTACATACACTAAGTTGACTGTGCCTTTAAACAGCTTGGAAAATTCCAGAAAATTATGTCATGGCTTTAGAAGTTTCTGATAGGCTAATTTACATCATTTGAGTCAATTGGAGGTGTACCTGTGGATGTATTTCAAGGCCTACCTTTAAACTCAGTGCCTCTTTGCTTGACATCATGGGAAAATCTAAAGAAATCAGCAAAGACCTCAGAAACAAAATTGCAGACCTCCACAAGTCTGGTTCATCCTTGGGAGCAATTTCCAAACGCCTGAAGGTACCACGTTCATCTGTACAAACAATAGTACGCAAGTATAAACACCATGGGACCACGCAGCCATCATACTGCTCAGGAAGGAGACATGTTCTGTCTCCTAGAGATGAACGTACTTTGGTGTGAAAAGTGCAAATCAATCCCAGAACAACAGCAAAGGATCTTGTGATGATGCTGGAGGAAACGGGTACAAAAGTAACTATATCCACAGTAAAACGAGTCCTATATCGACAAGACCTGAAAGGCCGCTCAGCAAGGAAGAAGCCACTGCTCCAAAACCGCCATTTTTGGAGAAATGTCCTCTGGTCTGATGAAACAAAAATAGAACTGTTTGGCCATAATGACCATCGTTATGTTTGGAGCAAAAAGGGGGTTGCTTGCAAGCCGAAGAACACCATCCCAACCGTGAAGCACGGGGGTGGCAGCATCATGCTGTGGGGGTGCTTTGCTGCAGGAGGGACTGGTGCACTTCACAAAATAGATGGCATCATGAGGAAGGAAAATTATGTGGATATATTGAAGCAACATCTCAAGACATCAGTCAGGAAGTTAAAGCTTGGTCGCAAATGGGTCTTCCAAATGGACAATGACCCCAAGCATACTTCCAAAGTTGCGGCAAAATGGTTTAAGGACAACAAAGTCAAGGTATTGGAGTGCCTATCACAAAGCCCTGACCTCAATCCTATAGAACATTTGTGGGCAGAACTGAAAAAGCGTGTGCGAGCAAGGATGCCTAATAACCTGACTCAGTTACACCAGCTCTGTCAGGAGGAATGGGCCAAAATTCACCCAACTTATTGTGGGAAGCTTGTGGAAGGCTACCTGAAACGTTTGACCCAAGTTAAACAATTTAAAGGCAATGCTACCAAATACTAATTGAGTGTATGTAAACTTCTGACCCACTGGGAATGTGATGAAAGAAAGAAAAGCTGAAATAAATAATTCTCTCTACTATTATTCTGACATTTCACATTCTTAAAATAAAGTGGTGATCCTAACTGACCTAAGACAGGGAATTTTTATTAGGATTAAATGTCAGGAATTGTGAAAAACTGAGTTTAAATGTATGTACATTTGTTTAAGGTGTATGTAAACTTCCGACTTCAACTGCACATTTACATTTTAGTCATTTAGCAAACGCTCTGATCCAGAGCGACTTACAGTGCATTCATCTTAAGACAACCACATATCACAGTCATAGTAAGTACATTTTTCCTCAATAAAGTGTCTAACAGCAAAGCCAGAGATAGTAAGGGGGAAGAAAAGTCAAGTACGAGTGTTAGTTCACAAGAGAAGAGCTTGGACTGGGCTGAGAAGGAGCTGCCCTCCCATAGGGGTGGGAGGGCCAAGAGACCAGAGGTAGCAGAACGGAGTGCTCGGGTTGGGGTGTAGGGTTTGAGCATAGCTTGAAGGTAGGGAGGGGCAGTTCCTCTTGCTGCTCTGTAGGCAAGTACAATGGTCTTGTAGTGGATGCAAGCTTCGAGAGTGTGGAGGAGCAGGGTGACATGGGAGAACTTGGGAAGGTTGAACACCAGGCGGGCTGCAGCATTCTTGATAGGTTGCAGGGGTTTGATGGCACAAGCGGGGAGATAGGTTGCAGGGGTTTGATGGCACAAGCGGGGAGCCCAGCCAACAGCAAGTTGCAGTAGTCCAGACGGGAGATGACAAACGCCTGGATTAGGACCTGCGCCGTTTCCTGTGTGAGGTAGGGTCGTACTCTACGGATGTTGTAAAACATGAACCTGCAGGAGCGAGTCACTGCTTTGATGTTTGCAGAGAACGACAGGGTGTTGTCCAGGGTCTCACCAATGTTCTTTGCACTCTGGGTGGGGGACACAGTGGAGTTGTCAACCATGATGGAGAGGTCTTGGAACGGGCAGGCCTTCCCCGGGAGGAAGAGCAGCTCAGTCTTGTCGAGGTTGAGCTTGAGGTGGTGGGCCGACATCCAAGCTGAGATATGTGCCAGGCACACAGAGATGCGTGTCGCTACCTGGGTGTCAGAAGGGGGGAAGGAGAAAAGTAGTTGAGTGTCATCCCTTACGTTGATGACTTTTCTCAAATCCAATTCGTTTTCAACTTCGATTCAACGTCATCACATTGCATTTTCCTGTCTTATCTGTCACACCCTTCATGACCAGTCTTCTTCTGAAACATAAAATAACTATGCACTGTTCATAACACTAAATATGTTGTCTGTGAAAGTAAAGATTAAGATCTGAACATTATCTAAATAATTCCAAATGAAAGAATGTGAATGACCCCACCTACAGAAAGCAGAATAAACATGGGGAAAAACATAGCCATTTACAACCTTTAAACAATCTCTGGAAACGAGACCAGTTGACTGAGTTAGACATCTGCTGTTGGCCTTCATTTCCCTCATTGACAACTAGCTGGACTACCTTTTTGTAGCTGGACCTCTCTCTCTCTCTCTAAGAGGCGAAAGAGAGAGAGCGAGCGAAGAGACGCTCTATCTCGATCTGCTCCTCCTCTCTCTGCTCTCCTCTCCTCTCTCTCTCTCTCTCTCTCTCTCTCTCTCTCTCTCTCTCTCTCTCTCTCTCTCTTCTTCTTTCTTTCTTTCATTCTTTCTTCCCAGGTTAATTACTTTAATTAAAGACCAGGCAGGGCTTGGCCGGCACTCAGGAGTGGCCAGAATGGAGAACAATCCCCCCCTTTCATTGATGGAATTACCTGCCTGTGCCCCCTGCTTCGGTTCTGCTGGAGAAAGACGGCCTTCATTCACAGACCTCATATCATAACATCCACTTCTAGGGAAAGCACTGGCAGAAATGGAATCAACTGCTCATAAAGTGAATTTACATCCTGGCCCTCAGGCAGTTTACCACTAACATATTCACTCATCTTTTCTATAAAACCTGCTTTCAATGTAATAATACTCTGTAAGCTACTTGTAGGTATTGTCAATACTGTACAACACCAGGATAAGTAATACACTACCTGAACAGATTTTCCATAATATTACATTATTCAATTAGTATTCCACCATTCCTGATATTGCATCTAGAATTGCTTTTGTGAAAGTGAGTGCAGATTAATTCAGTGTCAACTGACAACACATATGCAGTAACTATTCCCCTCTGAGGGCCATTCTATGATCTGGGGACCATGGGGGACAATAAGAGGGTGAGGCAGCCAGCATACCATTAATGCCCCCTGGGCATACAGGAGATGACAGGCAGGCAGACAGACTAATTAGAGGGACACATTCACTGGGGGGGGGGGGGGGGGGGGGTGCTGTTAGCAGTCAGGATTAGAGAAGAATAGAGAGGGGGCTCCATGTCAAACTCTATGGACTGCAAATCATGTTTCAGGTAGAAAGCAGGACTTCCAAGTTGGACTGATGAATAAAACAATTCATAAATGAAACAAAGAGTAGTTACTGTTTTTATGGCATCTTGAAAATGTAGAGTAGTTGAATAGTGTCACTGATCACTGATGCAGAAATCCATAGAATTCCAGCCCCTGCAATGGAACATCACCAAAACATACTGTATAATCACCATGAATTTCTGGACCCCACCCTCTTTCCAATCTCTCATTAGCATCTCCTAAACGAAAAGAGAGAGAGAGACCCCACTGGGCACAAACTGGTTAAATCATACTTTCTTTCAGCGTAATTTGTCAACGTATTGTGACGTGGAATCTATGTGGAAAATACTGTTGTTTTGAGGGTGAAATTTCAACCACAGGATTATGTCATCATGGTAACCAATTGACAAACCTTGTATAAAATATGTTGAATTTGTACCTTTGAAACAAAGTCTGATCTTCAATGTAATATCCACTATAAGAAAAAAGGCTGGGAAGCACCTCCTACTGGATCTATCTACAGCTACCCTTTGGTCTTCCATCCAGGATTTTAACCAAGCCCTGCTTAGCTTTGATATTCGTCACTGACTGTTACCAATGTGCTATTGTGAGAATGATTGCTGAGAAATCTTCACTTAATATATTCACTGTTGCTATCAAAGTCATTCCAAAAGGTAGGTTTAACAGAGCAAATGAAATACAACCATACTTTATTAATCATATTTCATCAATGATGCTATTTAGGCCTATATAGCATTTGGGAAGTCATCAACAGCTTTTGTTTAAATTCAACCCAGGATTCAACTAAAAATAGACAGTACATATAGGCCTAAGGTTTCAAGCTTTCGCTGATTTCAAATGGAATCTACAAGTTAGTAAAAAAATATGTTGGATTCGTCTCCTTCAAATGTTGATATTTGGTTGCGTTGACAACCAAACACAATTCAATATCACTTTTGCAATAGAGTAAATAGCCTATTAACCTGTCGAC